TGAAAGAAAGGATTGCCGGTGAAGATCAGTGAACTGGAAGCTGTTTGGGGATGAAGCCGATCCCTACAAATCACATGACTCTTGCCTAAGGTGAAGGAGAGAGATAAGGAACACCATCGGCGTGCTGCGTAACGTGGCCCCAAGCGGTACCGGGAGGGGCATTCGCAGGAAGACTCGGCGTGGCAGGCTGGTGTTGGACGGTTGTAAGAAGTGTAGAAGCGCCAGAGGATGAAGCTGTATCTGCTGGGGTGTGTGCATGTGGACCACTGCCCGAGCTCAAAATTCTGCTTAGCTCAACCTCCCCCGGTGTGGATGCCGTGCTAGCAGGGATCCGTGCGCTTGGGCTACCAGCACCTGCAACTGTTGGCGTCTCAGCAGCGCTCGATGAATGATGGCTATCGTTTGGGAGGTGGGTTCGAGGACTCGAAGAGCCTGAAAGGACCGGCGAAGGCGTCCGACTCCCGCCTATCTCAGCGTGAAGCACTCTGTGAACCTCTGGGACAGGTATGCCGAGGACCGCATTTCGCTCCAGACTGAGCTGCTGTTGCCGCTGTCGATACGCCCGCCGTGCTGCCATGGCGCTCTTGCCCCAATGCCACAGCAGTCTGCCTCCCCCCCAAGCGCTAGCAGCGGCAACTATGCCCGCGCTGTACATATTCATGTCGCCTCAGCGCGGCGTAGGCGAGCGCTAAATGTAGCCTTCAGAAAATCGCTGGTCACTCACGCTGTCATAAATAGATACTTCTCCCTTTTCTGACTCGCCCTCTGTTGGTCCTCGATCCTCTTCTTTTGCGCTTCATAGTCAACTACTCCGGTGGGAGAGTGGAATGTCGTGGGGGAGTCTCTGCGAGTCAGCTTGCGAGGTCTTTTGGGGGTGTATTTGATGAAATCGCAAGAACAAACGCGAAAGTCAGAAGTGGAAATGGAACTCGAATCTTCACCAGCCCGCCTGGCTGACCAGGCTTAGGGCATTCCCTAACGGCCAATTTGTCTTTGCACAACTCGTTTGAGCCAGTGCCTGACACTTGCACTGGACGAGCCCGACGAGAGCAGCACACCGCTGAACACTCATGTGGAACAACAGGCGTTTGCCGCACGGAACACTCACATTTGCAGCTCTCTTCGAGCTGGGCTCGACGAAAGCATCTCGTGCCTCTTGAAGAACTTGGGGAAGCGGCCTAGCTTAGAGAGGCCCGCGCTGAACACGCTCTTGAACTTAGTCAAGCCTCCTCCTCCAAGCTGGGCTGTAGCATAGGGCTTCCTCGTCGTCGAGTACAAGCCATTCTGTAGCATTTTCATCTTTCGATCCTGCTTGTACGCATGGTAGCCTGCGGCACCAGCTAGACCAAGGGACCCAGCCGTCAAGGCCCTGTCAAAGAGGCAGACTAAGCTACATTGCTGCTCAAACCCAGAAAAAAAAAGAGCACGCTTACACTCACCCGAGAGTGGCCGTCGTTGCAGTGCCTTGGTCTCGCTTGAAGATTTTGAAGCGACCAAATTTGGAAAGAGCACTCTTGAAGGCATTCTTGGAATTGTTTAGGCTACCATCAACGCTCATCGGCTTGCCTACAGCTTGCGCAGGCATTAGACCTTGCTTCTTGAGAGATCTCATCTCCTTGTGATGAAGGTGGGCGTAATAGAGGCCGGCGCCCGCACCGAAGCCGATCGCTCCCGCACCCAGAACGCTGATGATCAAAGACGTCAGGCAGGAAGTCAATTCCTACAAGCCATGTAAGCAACTTACCCAGCCGTCCCTCCCACAGCCTTCTTAGCGGTGCCGTCTCTTGCACCTAGGAAGCTCCTGAGAAACGAAAGCGGAGTTAGCTTCCGCCGTCGATAACGTTGCAGCACGGAGTTGTGGACTGCCCAAATGCGATGCAACACGACTCACGGCTCTTCGCCCTGTAGAGTATCTATCTCAACCAGCTCCATCTCACGCCGGCGCAGATGTGGCACTTTACGGAGAACACCAGTGAACTTTGAGAAAAGACCTCCGTCGCCAATTTTCGCCGCTGGTTGCGTTACGAGTGGTACTTCTTTGGCCAATTGAGGATAAGGCTCCAAAGGTCTGTTCGCTTTAAGTTCGGCAGCTTGTTTGCGGTACTTCTTATACCCGGTCCACCCCGCGTGGAGCAACAGCCCTCCTGTGACACCTCCCATCGTACCCCAGAGCCTGCCACGAGCCAAAGTTGGCCGCATGAATCATCTGTCAGCAAGTCTATGGCAAAGCTATCTTGCTGACTCACGCGGCATACTGTTTCTTCGTTAGATCGCGATCGTTGCGCTTCGGTTTGGATTGACGCCTGGAAAATTGCTTAGGAAAGTGTCAGCCTGCAAGCTCTTACAGAGCACACGAATCGCACACCGACCTCTCAATCGTCTCTGACACGCCAGTGTGAGGATCATGACGCTTCCAGAACTTCAGTCGGCGCAAAGCACTGCCTTTCCCGGCTATTTTGGAAAATAGACCTAGACTGTTCTTGGGACTGCTTCCCTGCGTCTTCAATGAGGAGCCAGGTCGAAAAGGTAGCTTCGGCACACCTTTCTTGCTTAGATACCACAAGCCTCCTGCGCCCGCCGCCCAGCCAGCTCCGCCGGCGGCTACAAGCCACGGGCTGGCGCTGTACATAGCAGATGTGAGCGTGATTCCAAAGCGGTCTGGCCACACGATCTACGTACTTGGAGTCAGTGATCGTATTACGAGCTTGCAGTGCCGCACTGCGTTTCAAAAGGATTGGGTTAACGTCAGTATTTCCCTCCGATTGAGGTGGATACAACAGGCTATCGCTCATTCGACCCCTGATGCGCCGAGCCTGCAGGTATCTGCCGCGCGCCCTTCGTTCCGAAGCCGACGGTACATCGTGACTCGATCGCATACTGTGACACGTTTTGTGTTTTCCATTCGAAGGCAGCTTGAGACGCCTGCGGAGTCCATTACATTTGGACTAGACCAACCCTTCTTGAGCAGTCGCGACAGGCTGGGCAGGCCTCGGTTTGAAACTTTCGTTAATCCCAGAGCAACGGTCCTGCCGCGCTCGAGCAAGGCCCGGGCCGATCTCGACACCGACAAGAGGATTGGCGATGAGCGGCGATAGCACTTTACGAAGGAAGCATCGAAGACTCCAAGTCTCGCCACGCTGACGATGCCCGCAGTCTGAAGTCTGATCCCCCCC